TTCGTTTATAAAAGCGATCTTGCTGTAAGAAAAGCGTAAATTTTTTTGACAAAATAACATAAATCTGCTAAATAAACCGTATTTTACGAGCATACTTATGTACATATAGATCTACAGATATGAAAGTTTATCTCAATATATTAATTTTATTTGTATATGTATCTTAGGAGACGTCTTGCTCATTAAACCCGCACCTGCAAGAATAATCTGGTTAATAATAAACAACTTAGAGTAATACATTCGAGTTATCATTTATTAAATAAGATCAAATAAACAGTAAACGTAACTCTCCCCGCAGTGTTATAAGATACCGATCAATTTGTTAGGTGTCACAGGAATACGATACAAATTCTAATACCGCGTAAATTATAGTGAGATATATAATTGAACACACGAACACTTAGATAGTACGTGAATTCATTACTATGAACTTTATATGCGATCTGGTGATAAAGATGTTTGAAAACTCACGTCATAATAATGGATTCGGAATTAAGATTGGTTTCAGATACATAAAAAGCAAAAGGAAATGCGTTTTTCATGTATAAAAATAGCATATTACAATGTATTAAATCAATAACTTCTTGCGTATCTTCAATCTTATCTATTCAGCTCAAAAGCAGTAAAAGGCACATTACATAAAAAGATGCTAAAGATGTTTTCCCCGATTCATATGAATTAAGTCTGTGATAATATTGTCATAAAGATTAAATCAAGACTCACAACAAAGCTGAAATATTAGTTCCCATTGGCTTGTTAAGATAATTTACATATACTTAAAATTGTAAACAAGAGTAATATTTAAAAGCTATATCGAATTTTTATCTCTTAGTTTACGAAGTGAAGGCGATCCTATCCGAGCTCTAGATTCCAATAAGCCATGATATCGAATGATAGCATCATAAAAATTGACAGTGACAGGGCAAAGTACTCGTATTACCGTATAAGGCATTAATTTTACGATCTCGACGAGTAATTTACTTTCTCGGAATACAAGAAGTATGAATAATAAAGAGTTAATGATGACCCGGCACTAGATCAAGCGACGTCACGCAATATACAAGTGCGCTTTGCTTTGCTCAGACTTTTTATACGGCAACTAATAAAGTTTACATTATCATTAATTTTAATTTTACTATCCAAGACATGTAGCCGCGGGCTGCCGTGCTTACATTAGATATAAATCAATTGCCATGCTTTCCCCCTGAAGCATTTTTGTTGTCCTTGTTTACTTTCAATTACACAGGTTTATCTCGTAAAAGTAACGCTACATAACGTTGTATTTAAAAATAATTCTCTAACATAGATTGACGTCTGTTTTATAACACTTCAACGGAAACTTAAAATAGTTTTAGTTTCAAATTATAAAAGGAATGTTAAATCAATCTTCACACATTTGTAATTTTATACTTCAAGATAAATCAGCAGATGAAATAAAAGAAACGGATGAGATTATATCAATAAAGATATTTCATTACCATAAATTTGTTATAGGATCTATTCCATAATATTTAATAATTCATATAGTAATGAGATAAAATCACAAATGAATGTTAATTTCAATATTTAAGCTGTATACAATCAACAAATCATCGCGATGGTATCTCGTGTGATCGAAAGAACCGTCTATTATCTATGGATTGGAGTGACCTCTCACATCGGGTCGATATTTAGTGTGTACGCATTGTTCGATACAATAATAATTGTAGGTGGCTTGAGTTTGCTTAAAATTGATTTCGGCTGTGATCTTTAGTTAGATAGCTCTTTATTATAGGTTGTGTGGCGTGCCAGAGCTCGCCCCGAGCCGATACGACAAAGCAAGCCTACATTGTGTTACGTTTTCATTGGATAATCTCAACTTTTACAAATAACAGTTCATTTGTATGGTGTGCTATTTTAAAGCATTTTACTCATTCGTTTTAAGTGATTTTTATTTTGACAGTTATAATAAATAATAATAAAATATTGACCTGTTTGCTGAAGATTTAATGTAAATCGTAATATAAAACTTATACTAAAAAAGCTATAATGTAAACAGCTGCTCCTTTGTGTCTGATATTTTATTATACAAAAGATTTATTTAATTTTATTGCACCATAACTAATTTTAGGGGTAACAGTTTTTACTTTATTCCTTTCTTTATTCAATCTTTCATATGCAATTTTAATGCTGTTTCATAAAATTATTATTTTTAGTATTTTTTATTACAGTTCTAGCTAACTGCAAAATATAATATATACATATGTGTATGATTAACAGACTGCAATTTTTTTTCTTAAATCTTAATTCCTAATTGAAATTTTAATAAATAAAACCAATCCCAAATAAATTCAAAACAAAATAATATAAAACGTAAAAAAAATATTATAAAACCATTTTATTATATATGTATATACAAATATGTATAATATACATTTAGAGCTATCTTTATATTAAATTTACTACATATTTTCGAATAAAAGTTTATTTTATTGTTATAATATAGAAAACTAATCTTCCCCAATAACATGCCACATTAAATTTATGTTATTGAATTATATATTTTTATTATTGGAAATCAATAATATTTTAAGTTTAAGAATAACATTAATATTAAATATATAGTAACATCAAAAGGAATTTAACGAAGACTTGTCTCAACGGCATTCCAACGTCGTAGTAAATTTAAAAGCTCATTGTTTTGGTGTGAAATACTGTGTAGTTGGGAGCTAGGCGTCGACAGTGTTGATGGTGGATAAAACCCGTCATAAGTCCTTCCTCGCTAAAGCTAACGACAAATCGCGCCTCGATCAAGCTGCCGGACCAAAGCACGTCACAAGACAATGCTGATGGCCCGATCTACGCTGGCCGATGCGCGTGCGCATGTTTTATGCTTACTTTTCTACAATCCCTTACAATATTGTCTGCGCGTCGACATGCTAGATATATGGGAGACGCGATTTTTGTCTAGTGTCGCTGCGTGGGGTACGCTCTGTGATGTATGATAATGTTTTCTTGTAAGTTTATAAAGAATAACAAAAATTGAATAATAATATTTAATGTTTTATTAAAGTAAAGTATGATTTAGTTATTTATTATACATTTTGTGATAAATTATGAACAATCAAGTTGTGTAAGTAATAGCAGGATCACACCTCATTGTGTAATAAATAACTGAATGTTTATAACGTGTTTCGAAGCTTGAATTAGTAATTTTCTAGCAAGTTTAGACCTAAGGTTAGTCAGTGATGGGTGTTGAGTACAGGAAGAGCCTACATTAGGTCCATAACTCACACTAACAATATGGCTTATAATTACAAGTAAGGTTGAAGACGATGATAAATAGTTTTCCCTTGCCAATGACATGGATATTGTGCACGTACATTTTCAGTGTTGTTTCACAATACAATCTTCATGTATTAACAGAAAGTTCTAGAAATGGAAAGTTAATTTCGTTTAAAGCATAGCGAATTGTTTTAAATTTATGTTTATATCCAAATAAACTGTTCTTAAGAACAAAATTAAACGAGGTTTGATGACGGCATGGAGTAAGTGAGATCTTATGTAACAAAGTAAGAGGACTTGGTAATTGAAAATTTATTCTATTTAAGATTGGTTTTGCTTGGATGACTGAAATTAATATATACCTGTGCTTATACAAATTATCCTATCTATATAGTAGTTGAAGTAGGAAGTCGATTACAAATTCAGTAGAATTAATTTGTGTGTGACATGTGACAATATATCGACGCACATTTTAACGCTCATAACCGATAAGTAAATGTTTGGGCACATTGTTCTAGGACCGGTCGAAACGGAAACACATTGGTGGGCTGCTGCATTACTTATACATGCGCCGACGCACTTTAGCAATCAGCATTAATCAACACGATATGCCTGCGTGTCTCGCTTGTCCGACTTCCATTGATTTGTTTATTTTCACGCTGAAAATATGGTCTGACGTTGAGTTAGCGCGGCGAGTATTGAAATTGTGTACAGTCTCCATCACAGATAAGTAGACAGGCTATATGTAAACACGAACAATAAGTTGACACCAATAGACGACTAGTTAAGTCTAATTCTGACTAATAGTTGTGTGTAAGCGGCACGTAAATTCAATATGCAATTTGTAGTTACGTTAAACAGTTCGTGCTCTTATAGATAGGTGCAATCGGCACTCAAAATCTACAAAGATAACCGATTGATTTAAATTCTGACTCGGGAATTCTGAATACTATATTATTAATTTGAGAATATAATTTAGGTACTTAAGATATGAATTTGTAATATATTTATGGGAATTCACGATCTAAATATTTTAAATAAGAAAATTATTTTATATTGAAGACATTTTAATTATTGGCATATTATATTTTGTAAATCTTTATATTTGATATTAAAAATATATTTCTTGATAAATCAGACATAGTTTTCCGTCAATGAGTTGTTTTAAAGTAATGATAATGTTAACGATAGCCAGTTGTTTTGTTGTGTTAAAGGCGATGGTATTCGGTCGAAGAAAGAATCCAGAATCCATCCATCCTAACACGCCTTGAAGTGTTATCTTCCAAAAGTCGAGTGCCATGTAAAGCTCTGTTTATCTGTCAGATGTTTGTACCGCAACATCTTGTCTCGCGTAATCCCGCCATGTTTTATTCTCTCGCATTCAACGCCGATACCTTAATAAAACCCAACAAGATTGAGCAATAAAAAGTAATTTATTTGATTGTAATTTCAAAACACAAAGTGGGTCTCATTTTGTAATATATTTTTATCTTTGTGGTTTTGTGTTTCTCGACGCACGTCCTGTTCGCCCGCTGATGAGTCGATGGCGATGATCTTCATTTTATTTTCAATTTCTAACCAATATCTATCAACTTCTAGATTAAGTCATTATTTTATTATCGAGCTCTAATAAATCCAAATTTCTACATGACTTGTATGAAATAAAATTCTTTTAAAATTGTGATTTATCTAAAACAAGTTTAGTCCTTTGCCAGTAAGTGATTTTTTTGGACATCTCAGATTTTTTGAAGATGATATGGAGCACGTTTCAACTTCAAGGTAATATGATATGCATTAGCAGAGACTGAATTCACTTTAGCGGGAGTTTTCAAGTAGTTACAATACGGCACTCCGATATTATCACCGAACCAATCAATTTGATCCCTCATAAAAAGTTCTCGGTAGGCAGGTCGCATATAATGCGTCTGCTGTATCAGCCCGTCGATCCGTGGCTGGTAGCAAGACTTTCCATATATTTTATGTGAAAAGGATATGGGCATTGTTGTTGGACGTCCTGCTGCGAGCTCGGGTAAACACTTGAAATTACAAGTCAGCCTGCACAACCTCGCGTGAATCCAACACCGCTTCCAATCTTACGCCTCGCGTAATAAAAATATCATAGTAACGTTCATTCCGAGAACAAATTCACTATTCATAGCATATTAGTTACGACTGTTCTGGATGAAATGCTGGGAATTGCATTAAACAACTGCCTCAATATATTGATTTACATAACGGACGCATAAGTTAGCCTCACGTATTATTTAAATGTAAATATTCTCACCTGAATAGATCGCCAATAGGATTTATACAGTTTTATTGGAATGTCGTTTTCAGAAATGTAATTTATTTCATAATATGGTCTCCTTTAATAAGTCCATGTTTAATCTTTATTTGCCTGACTGATTAATTTAATGATTAACTTTGAACATAATTTATGTTATATTTTCTGAATAAAACGCATTATTTGCCCCTAAATGAAAGTATATTATGACGTATAAATAAAAATTTAATAAGGACAAAAATTTAAAATTTATGTATGAAATGTAACAGAGGTTTTTAATATTTTACGAATGATCATAAGTATAAAATGCAATAAATGACTATGAATTTTATTGTAAAATATAAATCCATGTTAAAATATGCGTTTTATTAAAAATGTGATGTATCTCACGGGCAATACAAAAATTTTATCCGTTAGAATGATATTAAAGAAACGAAATTTTTACTTTCATACTGTATGAAAACAGTTTGCTTGACTATATTTCGTTTCACACTATGGATGACTTTAAGTAAATTTAAATTTAACTCTTATACAAAAGGAACTTAAATAATGAAAGTTATTATTATATTACAATAAATAAGAGTACAAAATATAATACATTTAAAATATTTCCATTGAAACAAAGACAGGATATTGACCTGCCCTAATACTTACAATAAGGAACGCTAAATGAAAAAGGATGTGTTTATTATAGTTCACTTCGAAGGGTTGAGCATTGAATCGGGAGAGGTATGAGAGCGAGGTGTTACTTGGATATAAATAAAAGAAGAGTGTCCCCAGGGCCGCGGGCCATAACGTACGGTTTGTTCCACTTGGGACTGATATTATAATAATAAGTATTATACAGAGCATTTCAATATTTATTTACATATAAAACGATTTCATTATATAACTTTAATTGTCTATTGATATTTAAGTAGTGTATTGAAACATTGAAAATTTATTCTAAATTTCATCTCATTAAATCTGAAGTAAACTCCGAATATTTTTGAAATGAATAAGAAAAAAATCTTATTTTAAGCAAAATATAAAACAGTATTTAATTTTTATAAAAGAAATATTATTTATGTTTATAAATTGGATCTGTGTGGTAAGTAACAAAGCTCGCACGATTAGGCCTCGCCACAGCCGCCACACGCGCGCCTCCAAATAAAAGTGCTGCGTTGTCGCGCGCGCCAGAATTACGACGATCCACCTTTATTATACCTTTTTTTATTCCCTTTTTTAATTTCATTTTACGATAACGTCGCATGCACACGGAATGATACCTAGAATATGTGAGCAAGTTTTTATTATCACGATTTTGTGAATTAGTTTCCGGATTAACATTTTAAATCGACGCCCCTTGTAAAATACTCGTCACATTTACATTAAATATGACGTGTGAAAATAAAATTTTAAATTACATTTTTGAATGTATTAATAATGAATAGGCGCCACTTTAATGACATGGGCACACAACACTTAATTTAATTACCATTTTCGTATGGTTGTTAACATTTATTTTAATTAATTAAATTGACGTATGTCATAACGCTATATTTGTTGATCTTAATCTTTAACAGTGTAATTAAAAAAGAGAATTGTACATAGCATATCATGAAGTATCAATATTGTTCGTAGCTAGAAGTTAATAATTTTGAAAGTACATAAATGTTTGCAGAGACAGTTTCTATTTCAGGCAAATATGGACACTCAGCCTAAGTCGTTCAACGGCCTCCCTCGTTTGCATACAAGCTACGATTTGTGTGTTGTTAATTAGAGCAACTCAAACAGGTTCCGAATAATGCAGCTCGCGCCTCGAGGCGGGTTTACACTTTCTTGTAGTGCCATTATTGTTTTGTGTGTTATTTTAAATAGCAATAGATTACAGTCGACATATTCATACAATTGGAATTAATTAAATTTGCATGATAATCGTGTGTTTGTAATACTGATTGCTTTATTCGGACGATAAGAACATTGTTGCGACAATATTGACTTATGAATGATTGTTCGGTATTGGAGTTGGTTTACGAAACGTTTATCTAATTATATATTAAGGTAATTACTTAACAATAGATTTTAATATATTCAAATTATCTATAATTTCTTATGCAGTCCTGTTATTGGCTTGTAAATCTATTAATAGGAGTTGATGAATGTTTTAAATTTTGATTGACAGTTTTACATTAGAGGTAATTTTATCTTTAAAGTAAAAGCGTACACGAAATTTATGCAATATGTCCATTGAGGTATCAACAAGAGTGAAATAAGAGACTGATCTTGAGGCTGGGCACGGAAAGATATGGACTTTAAAGACGTCACACTACATAAGTATTAGAGAATCATTAAGTCTATGAAAGACTTACAAAACAATTGCGTAATTAATGTTTTTACTTTACCAATGGAAAAATATAAAAGTTATTAATAATATTAGGAGCACAACAGATGGACCAATATGTATAGAGCTGTGATAAATTCATTTTAATACCTACCGCAGGGTTTGTGGCTCTGGCTTCATGCACTCCATGACACATTTTATTGTCAAAACCCATACAAAGCTTATTTTCCTGATAAGTTTATTGTTATTTACATCACTGAATTATCATTCCGATAGCCGTTGTTTCACATTGGTATAATGTCATGTTGGGCCCGGCCTTGTATCTAAATTGCTTAATTGGAAAGTCGGGAAAAGATACCCGTATGCATATGTACAAAGGTCCTATAACTGAATCTTCGTTTCTTATATCTGAATTTACAACGTGTCGTTACATGGAAATGCTATTAAGTTAGAACATTCGTTTTATTTATTGATATACATGGTTCCTATGATTTAATTACGCTCAATAAAATTTCTTATAGTTTTAAGAAGAGAAAAGTTGTTGATATACAGTTATTTATAAATCCCTCTTATAAATGGTACAAACAATCTTTTGTGTCCATTTATCGCATCCGTATATGGAATATTATTCTTATATTAAAAGGAGTAAGTAAATCTTGTTTATTACACGTTTTTATTTAATTAAATATTTGTTTATTTTTTTTTTTTGTAAATAATACCATTATGTCTCATTTCGTTGCTGCAATACACATAATTTTATTATTTTAAACCCAGGAACTCAAATGAGTGGGTAATCGCCCAGCGATGAATAAGACTTTACGAATTCTTAAAAGCATATAAAGTCTTAATAAAAACTTTTTATGGTAAGTCTGTAATTTTATTTACACATGAGATAGGCATCATGGCGCGTGTTAGGCTAATAAGGAACCGATGGACGCTCTTAACGATCTATATATTGATGATAAAATTTGCTGTCTTGTGACAGAATGAAATCACCTTGATCTCATGCAAGCAAGAATATCTTTAATTTGTATAAATTCACATATATAAATATATACATTTAATTTTGGCCGATTTTTTCGTACAATTTTGTTGTGAATTGGATTTTAATTGCATAATTTCAGGAATTTATTTAGCGTGGTTCTATCTATAAAATAATCACCTGAAAATGGTTTGCAAAATTTATCTGTTCTAGGTTAGCCGTAACATGAAGAATAATGTTATCCTGGCACGCCTCAACCCGTGTCACTGCCAAGGGCGTGTCAGAGATAAGTTTACATATTTCGTATGCATTATGCAAATCGAAGATTTATGTTAAACAAGTAAGGGAGATACTCAGACTGCAAGGGACGAGTTTCGCCACTGACACGTCACTCACGCCTTAAAGCTGTGTCGTCAATAGAGTTTTGTCGGCCACTAGGTGAAAATAATGAACTTGTCACCAAATAATCTAGTAGAAGAACTTCAATCAATTAAAATCGATTTATTAAATTTTGTTATATATTCTTTTAAATGGATAAGTTTTGATCGAAAACATCATTTATAGACAGAAGCAACCTTATAGTCATGTCTTTATTTGTACAATTCTAATTGACGTATTTTGATTGGTCATACCCGGTCTTAAATGTTCTTGCTACTTTGTGCACCTTTCGTGACAACCTACCTTAAAATTTGCTTGATATCTGCTAGTTATCATAACAGCATATGACATGTTCAAAAGTATTGAGCCTTGTTTAGCAACGAAATAGCCTCCTACTATTCGCTAATCTTCTTTTCTGTATAATGCAATTTACTTTATGAGGTATGTGAAAGTTTATTAAATAGTTTTAAACTAATATAGTAATAAAAGTTTGCCTTTAATATTTCAAAATTAACATTTAGTATGTATGGAACGAAGTATATTGAATAATAATTGTTTCATAATAAAACTGCAAGTTGCGCTGAGCCAGTGCAATTACCGATAATTCAGGAACTACTCGGCCTTTCAAATTGTCATAAATAGTCTGAGGTGTCAAACATAATTTTATAATAGGTAAGGAATAAGCTTGTTGTTGGCGAGCCGTCGGCGACCACTTCATGTGCCACTTTATGATCAAAAATGACCCCGGGTCTCGGAAATTCATTTTAGAATGGCAAAAGTCTAATGGACATTAAATTACTTTTCAACCAGAGCAATCAAATTATATTGTAATAAAGGATTGTAGGCGAGGGATTATAATAGAATAACTTAGTTATTCTGCAATAAAGTTTTTAATTATATTTTACGAATCTTTCACATATTTTTTCAATCGAATATTAAGTGACAAAAGTGACATGAAATTAACATGTTCAATTAAACTTAAAAACTTTAAATTTAATGTTGGACAAAAACAATATTTACAGAAGAGAAACTA